GAAAGAACCCTCAGGATACTTTAGTGTTAAAACACATAAGATAGATATGCCCTTTAGATCTATAGTGTCTAAAAGAAATACTTGGCAATGTGTGTGTCATCGTATCTTCAAAATACTTTGTCCTGCCTTAACCTGGAAAACCAATACCTGATCTCTAGTTCATCCTGTGTGGTAGAGCACCATGAAAAGCAGGATCTAAAGGGTTGTGCTGTTCTGAGCGTAGACATTGAGGATTTGTTGCTCACATTACCGTGCAATGAACTCATGGAAAGTGTTAAGATATGCATTTCCCAGTTCAGTGACAAGCTTCAGGTTAGGGCAAGGAGTGGCATTTCACTCGAACTCTTTCTCAAAACCTGGTCCATGTACCTAAATTTTACCGTCATTGGCTGGTAAGAAAAAGTTCTGCGTAAAACAGGCGTTTACATTGGATACAAAGTCGCAGCCGTGTTAAGCGATATATTTTTGTGCCATGTTAACACGAAGCTTAGAAGCCACCTGGGTGAAGGTATCCGCTATGTTTTAGGTATGTTGATTACGCGCTGATTTTTCGAAATGAGCACAATCACAACCAGCTGAACCGGACAGGATTTCAAATGTTTTCAGGATTGTGGTCTTGGTCTTCGGTTCACCTCCGAATTAATGAAGCAGCAGCAGCTGCAGTATCTTGATTCACGCCTGCTGTTCACTCCACAGCATGTATGTGGAAGTACCAACCCAGATCGAAACAACCGTTGTTACATGCTAACTCAGTGCACTCAGAACTCATTAAAATTGTATTATGTTTTGCACGTAGTGCTCTTCATTCAAAAAGTCATGCCATCATCAGGTCCTAGACAGCTTTCACAACCACCTTCTTAGGCCGAAGACGGTCGGTTATGGCAACGCTGCGATCCCGACTGCATTTAATAAGCTCATAAAATGGGTTAAGGCCAAAAACGCGGGATCATGTAACGAGAGCAAAACTCGCGCCAGTGATTTCACTATTATACCATACCTCCATTGCTTTTCCCATGGTCTGAAGAATGTTTCCAATCGGTAAAAGATTGATATGGTGTTTTACGCCCCCCAGAAGATTGGAAGGATTTGCCCATCCATCAAAAATAAAAGCAAGTTCATCTGTAAAGTTGCATGCATAACTAACCATGTCCAGAACTTCATAACTTGCATGATAGGTAAAGTGTATATGATACCTCTGTCATGCGACGGGGTGTAAGTGGGACAAAGTGGAAGGTGCATCAATATAAGACTGCAAAAACACCTACGCTCGCTCTCCTCCGCGAATCCGACCAGTTATCATATAGCCAACCATAGGCACTCGTGTGAATGTACTCCACATTTTAATGACACCATCCTTCTGTGCAGCCATCCTTATAAAGAGACAAGAAATAACAGAAGCTTTTCACATCAACCGTTTAAAAGAGAAATACATTAGTCAAGCATCTATATATCTTCCATCAAAAGAATTAAATTAGCTCTTGCAAACGTGCATAGCATAGTGCCACTTCGTATATTGCTTCTATCTGTTGTAAATCTTCATGTTACTTATGTTTTCAACGAGGCTGTTTTCGAGCTGATATTGCCCTGACATTGCTCCCGTGCCACTTTTGATGACATTGAGTTGGATGACATAGGTGGCGTTTTTTTCAATAAAATTTTAGTTGTATGTGTGGTGCTTGCCGTGTCTTTTCTCGTTTGTGTATTCGTCCTAACGCTGCCCCATTCAATTCATTATGAACCCTAACCAACAAGCCCACCTTTCCGTTATTCTGCTTGAACGTTGATTGGCATTAGGGGTGTAACGGTATGTAAGATTTCTGTTTAGGCAGCAATGTGCGACCAGACAAAATCCAGCAGTGCCGTCAGGACTGGACAGCACAACCTTTATGATACGTGGTTCTTGCTTGCTTGCTTGTTCCTTTCTTTTGTGGCTCTCACCCACTAAGGGGGATTGGCCAAGAAGCCGGTGGTTAATGCAACTAAATACCTATAGATTTTCTAGATTAGGGAAATATGATTACTGTGTTTTGACTGTGAAATAATTTGGCGCAATGAAAAAAAAAGAAAAAAAAGGGGGGAGAAATAATAGAATTTGTTGAAAATCTGTGGTGGGATCGTTATATGAAATTCTCCTGAAAGTTGAATCATTGCAGTGTATCAGCTAAATATTAACTGGTAGTGTGACTAGTAAAATTTGAGAGCTGATGGCTCACTCAGCAAGGTAATCTTCTTGTGTTATATATGAATTCGCAGAGAGCCCCGCAGATGTTCCTGTCGCTATGTCCCAATGAAATGGCCCCAAAAGACAAAATATTGGGAGTATTAAGTGATATTCCTAATTTTCTGAATAAAATTTCGAAGCAGTTTTTTCTTTGATTTTTGAATCGGTGACATGTGATAAGAAAATGGTCGATATGTTCAGGTTCGTTACAGCTTGAGCACAGAGGGGATGGCACCAGACCAGACCTGTTTAAGTAGAAATTAAGAGGTGGTACACGGCAACGTAATTTTGTTACCAAGACTTCCAATTTACGCGTGGGACACCATTTATTATTCCATGTGAATTGCAGGTGCGAAAATCTGGATTCAGTATCATGGTTTTGATGAGTCTTCAAGAAGGGAAAGTTTTCTAAACCTCGCTGCTGTTACATAAGCTGTAGGAGGCATGATTGGCACAATCGGAAGATCAAGAGATGTTCGCGCAAGTTTGTCAGCCATCTCGTTATAAATATACTACGATGGCCTGGCACCCATATCATTCGCACTAGACGAATGTTTGCTGGGATTAATGATTTAAAAGTCTCTAGTACTGCTGATGTCGACGACGATGATAAGAATGAACACACGGAATACGAGTCAGTCACTATCACAGCTGTCGAATGAGTCGCAGGAAGTTTACGAATAGCTAGTATAACGGCCGTTAATTCCGCTTCAAATATTGGTGTATAATCTCGGAGGCGTAATGAAAATGACCAGAATAATGATAGAGAAAAAATACCCACACCTGCCTTCTCGCCACTCATAGATGCATCCGTTGCAATTACTGTATTAGTACCTAATTGAGACAGGTGTTGTTCTAATAAACCAATCAAATATTTAGAGGGCAAGTGTTTAGCGTTCATGGGGAAGATATCGTCAAATTCTATTTGCACTTGGCCGATTGGTTTGACAGATGGTGTGATCTCGAATATATTAACATTTAAAGCATCTAGAAGTGTTTGAACAAATAGCACTTGGGTTTATATTTTATATACACGGGACCAATGCTCATTGAAAAAGACACCAGGCTCGGCAAAGAATACAAATTGTCGCCTTCTCAAAGTAGATTCAGAAAATTTTAAATAGGTGTTTACTGTTAAAATACGAAATCTGCAAGCAAGGGTGGGTATCCGAGCTTCTTGATACAAAACATTGTTAGCTGTGAATTTTGGCACACCTAAACAACTACGTAGGGCTTCCCGCTCTAAGAGAATGAGGGGGTTTATTTTGTCTGCTGGTCCACCAGAGAATAGTACACATCCGAATTCAAGAATAGGATGAACGTACATGCGATATATCATGATCATCGTATCTCTGCGAAGACCGGAACGGAGGCGGCCAAGCCTACTTATCATTCCAACAGCGCGTGTAGCCTTAATTTTAATATATTCAATGTGGTCACGCCAGCCTCAGTTTTTGATCGTACAGTACACCCAGATATTTAATACAATTAACCTGGGGTATTATTTCTTGATGGTACTGAAGAGAAATAGTAACTGGTGCGTCCAACGGAAAAACTATTATAGCACTTTTAGGTTACGTTCAGGTTCATATGAATTTTCTGAAACCAGGTTTCCAATGTTGCACATAACGCTGGTAAAGTCGAATGGAAGGTGCATCAATATAAGACTGCAAAAACACCTACGCTCGCTCTCCTCCGCGAATCCGACCAGTTATCATATAGCCAACCATAGGCACTCGTGTGAATGTACTCCACATTTTAATGACACCATCCTTCTGTGCAGCCATCCTTATAAAGAGACAAGAAATAACAGAAGCTTTTCACATCAACCGTCTAAAAGAGAAATACACTAGTCAAGCATCTATATATCTTCCATCAAAAGAATTAAATTAGCTCTTGCAAACGTGCATAGCATAGTGCCACTTCGTATATTGCTTCTATTTGTTGTAGATCTTCATGTTACTTATGTTTTCAACGAGGCTGTTTTCGAGCTGATATTGCCGTGACATTGCTCCCGTGCCACGTTTGATGAAATTGAGTTGGATGACATAGGTGGCGTTTTTTTCAATAAAATTTTACTTGTATGTGTGGTGCTTGCCGTGTCTTTTCTCGTTTGTGTATTCGTCCAAACGCTGCCCCATTCAATTCATTATGAACCCTAACCAACAAGCCCACCTTTCCGTTATTCTGCTTGAACGTTGATTGGCATTAGGGGTGTAACGGTATGTAAGATTTCTGTTTAGTCAGCAATGTGCGACCAGACAAAATCCAGCAGTGCCGTCAGGACTGGACAGCACAACCTTTATGATACGTGGTTCTTGTACATAACCTTTACTCTGAACCACATATCTTCGTTTTTCTCATATTCCATGCACAGAGTAGCAGACTAGAACTCTCTGCCTTCCCATTAATTTTTTCTCTCTGTGTTTATAGTGAAACATTTTTAGAACATATTGAAAAAGGAGTGACTTTTGTCCTCAATCATACGGCCTACATCAGCTCATTTAGCACAAAATTTTTCGAAGCCGGGAAAGACGAAGAGGACACACGTAGGCGCTGTCCCGCTTCGAAAAAAATCCTTGTTAAATTACCGTAATAATTCCATACTGAGGAGAGTGCTATAGTTTTTTTTCATCAAGATCAACATTTGCAAGACAAATATCAAAAATAGTTTCGTTATCTACGTTGATTACTTGCTTTCAGAAACTGAGAAGGCCGGCTCAGCAGCTGCTTTTATGCGGACCAGTGGCATTGTGTTGTAACCAGGAAGCAGACATACCTTGTAACTTCTTGAGCACGGCGACTTCCATCTTGAGGACTTGCTTGGCTTGTTTGGCGGATTCGAGCTTGAGGGCCACCAGTTCCTTCGATACCAAGTCCAGGCCCTCATAGATCTCTCCGAAACCACCACCACCAATCTTCTTCACCTGCGAATCAAAAAAAGAGCGTTGAAACCATACTACTACCTACACTCTGTCACAAGCCATTTCATATGAAGCGCGCCTCACTTTGTGCAGCCGCACATTTCAATCAATTTCAATCAATAGGGCGCTAGTTTCGGCGGCATAACCTCTGCAAAAGGGGAGGCTTGCCGACGCTTTATATATATATATAATATATCTATATATATCTATATATATATATATATATATATCTATATATATATATATATATATATCTAATATATATATATATATATATATATTTATATATATATATATTTATATATATATATAAATTTATTATTTCTTTATTTATATATATATATAATATATATATTATGATAGAGAAACTCGTGAATCATTCCCCATCTATAAGTTCGATGCCGTCGCGTCTGGTCTAACTGAAAACGTAGAAAAACTTAGTTGCCTATCCGCGTAACATGTAGTATCACCCTGTCCATCTGTTCTCTACCTTGCTCAGCAAGTCGCACTGCATTGTCTGAATCGGTTGATTACCTAGCAGATTTGTAACGTCTTTTATATAGCTCTTTGTGATATTTTTGTGATTACTTTATTATTTTTTCTTCCTTTTTTTAACTTTGCTATTACCAGTCGGACTATTCTTCATATCATGTGCTTTATCTTTTTGCGTTTTATCTTTTATTTGCAAACAACGCGCTCGCCATGTGCTCGCGCATGGAAACGATATCTTTATACACGTGTATCGGGTGCCCTTCAAAATGTGTGAATTGCATTTATATATGTCCATATATCACCTTTCATGCAGGTTTCATATCTTCATCTTATTGATATGCACACGTATATCAACAGCACTCACGCCATAAACTGCATTCTGATGAAGGTCGGACCCGCGGCCGAAAAGTCAATAAAATCACTTCGTACGTGCGTCTTCTTCAGAGGATATATATATATATATATATATATATATATATATATATATATTCAGCAGGAAGTTCAAGGGGTCTGGTACGTATAAAGAACACAAGCGAGTACACGTACGAAAGAGCAATACTTTTATGCCAACGTTTCAGCCGTGGCACGGCCTTCGTCAGGGACGAAGGCCGTGCCACGGCTGAAACGTTGGCATAAAAGTATTGCTCTTTCGTACGTGTACTCGCTTGTGTTCTTTATATATATATATATATATATATATATATATATATATATATATATATATATATATATATATATATATATATATATATATTGCCATCTGGTTTTTTTGTTAGTAAACAGTGAGCCAGTTCTGTGCCAGAGAAGAAAGAAGACGAAGACGAGCAACCCGTTCCAGTGGAGACGTCCTTCTTCCTGTCTGAGATTTGGACAGTCGCGTCTCCTTGTACATTTCTTCGAGCTCCTAGCGTGTGACAACTGGTGGAGGTGCTGGGTACCCTATGCACCAAACCCCTCCCAGTACGAGAAGCTCCAGCCCCATACCGGTAGTTACACCTGTTCACTGTGCTAGCCGAAGGATCCGTGGACTACACCTTGAGTTCGGGCTTCTCCCAGGGAAGATGACGACCCCAACTATCCGAGGCAGCGCCATCTCACGCAGCTCCAACCCAGCAGGTATGGAAGGCGCTACGCCTATGCACTATACGCTGTTGAAACTACGAACGCCGAATCTCTTTCATGGTGCTGTCCATGAAGATGTTGAGGATTTGCTAGTCCACTATGACTTCGTTGCCGCTCAGAACACGTGGTATGACACAGACAAGCTCCGACATGTCTACTTCAGTTTGAATGACGGGTCACGTGTTTGGTACGAAAACTGGGCAGGTGTGTTCACGTCGTGGGTGGACTTCAAGCGCCGGCTTCTCGAAACGTATGCAAGCCCCGATTGCCGAAAGTGAGCTGAGCGTGAACTCCACTGCCGTATGTAAATGCCACATTAGGGCGTAGCAATGTATGTTTAGGATATGACGCGTCTTTTTCGACGAACCGAACCCTCGCATGCCGGAAAAGAAGGTGCGATACCTGATGCGTAAAGTGAAGGTGCAGTTGTTCGCTGGTCTTGTACACAGCCCACCCAAGACTACGTCAGAGTTTCTTGCTGAAGCCGTCCTAATCGAAAGTACGCTTCGGCAACAGACCCAGACGTACGAGCGACAAGTGAACTTTGCCTCTGCTACGGACTACAGGGGCGATATTGGGGGGCACGTCGACTTCTTCCGAGAGCTCATACGCCCTCTAACCCCCGAAGAACTGCAGAACTTATCAGTACACTCGGCACCCACTGTCAGTTCTTTGTCCAGCATCATCCGAGATGAAGTTCAGCAGCCACTATGAGAACCACCCTGTCAGACAGAGCCGTGGCCACTAAATTACTTTCCTCGCATGTCGTATACGCAAACTCTGCTCCAGGCAGCACCACCTTTCACTCCGCTTCCCATCGCGAACCCTGGAATGCTTCCGGCAGACCAAACTTTGCGCCAACCTGCACCACATTTCACTCCACTTCATACCACGACCCCAGTCATGCTTCAGACAGTCCAAGTGGGTCCGTACTTCAGCGACCGCCGACCAACTACGCAAAAATCAGACGTGTGGCGGGCCTCCGATCAACGTCCTCTTTGCTATCACTGTGGTGAACCTGGACACATCTCCCGACAGTGCACTTATCGAGAGCTGGGACTGCGTAGTTTGACGGCCAACTCTCCATCTCCTGGGTTCAGCCAGCGGCCTCCGGAAATTGCGGACTACCGTTGCCCAGCAGCACGGATCGACATCTCGGCACCATTCACGCTTTCCGTCACCGCGACGGTTCTCGCCGAATCATCGCACCTATTCGGGCGTGGTGCAGGGAAGGTCACCTAGCCCGCGTCGGAAAAACTAGCCACAGCGACCTTTGGGGGCAAGGCCACTCAGACTGGTCATGCTCAAGGCCCCTTTCGACGCGGACTGGAGATACCCGACGATACATCGACAACGACATCACCGGCTGATTGCGGAAGAGTTTCCTTAGATATTCGTGTTCTGCTAGATGGTCGCGAAAGTCAGCGCTTTAGTGGACGCTGGTGCGGACTATTAAATATTGAGCGAAAAACTGGCCGACCTTCTGAAGAAAGTGACGACGCCAGGGAACCGAACACCAGTTTGTACATCTGGCGGGCATATCGTCATGCCCCTCGGTATGTGCACGGCAAGATTGCAAGTCCGCGGCTGTACGTTTGTTGCCAGTTTGAGCATTCTCCAGCAGTGTTCTCGAGACCTGATCATTGGCATAGATTTTCTCAGGGAGCATTGACTTGGAAGGTTGGCTGCTTGGGATAGTTGTTATGGCATTACGATAGTTATAGCGCGAGAACAAAACGACGACACAGAGACACGAAGAAGGACATGAAGGACATGAGCGCTATGTCCTTCGTCTCCTTCTTGTCTCTGTGTCATCGTTTTGTTCTCGCGCTATAAGTATCGTCATGCCATGCGATTGACATTCGACGACGTTTAATCACTTTCGCGACCACAGCCGCCACAACAGCTTACACAGACCCCAGCTACTCCCAAGTGTCTCTTCACGTCACCGACGACGCTGTTACGTTACCACCCCGTGCAACTGTTGTGGTTCAGGTGGCGTGGAACGGAGTGATGCACGGTGAAGCATTCGTGAAAAGCACTCACTCGCTTCTGCTGTCTCAGGGTCTGCATGGCGAGAAGCCTTCTTGACCTTCGGGATGATCACTGCGACGTTTTTGTCACAAACTTCGGCTACGAGCGCCGGCACCTTTTTCCAGGAACTGTCATCGCCTACACTGACCCAGTCGCCGATGTCACCGAGTGTTTTGCTTCCGAGGCCATCGGTGCTCCTGAAGCAGCCTTTCCGCAGCGTCGACATCAATCGAACGCTTTCTGAAGCAAACAAGCAGCGTTTGAGCGAGCTGTCGCTGCAATTGCACACATGCTTTGGACGTTCTTTAAAGGTACGTCCAACACCGGATAACGAAACACCGTATTATGACCAACGACGATGCGCATCCCACGCGGCAGCAGCCTTATCGTGTTTCGGCAACTGAACGGCACGCGATTCAAACGCAGGTTAAGGAAATCTTCAGGACGACTGGCCTCGTCAAGCTGTCCATAAACAGCTTTTAGCCAGTGAACCTCTCCAGAACCTGTTTCTTTCTGGGAAAATAAAATGATTTGAATTGATTTGATTTGATGGCGTGATACAGCCTTCAAGCAGCCCTTGATCATCACCACATCACCAGTCGTTCTTGTGGAAAAAGAAAGACGGCACGCTTCGCTTTTGTGTAGCATACAGGAAGTTGAGCAATGTCACAAAGAAAGACGTGTACCCTTTGGTAGAGTCGATGATTATTTGGAAAGGCTGCGGCACGCAAAGTATTTTTTGTCCATCGACTTGAATATTGGCGATTGGCAAATAAGGGTCAACAAACATGACCAGGAAAAGACCGCTTTTGTAACTCCGGATGGCTTTTATGAAAAGTGCCCTCTTTCGGCCTCTGTTACGCTCCAGCCACATTCCAGCGATTGATGAACACCGTCCTGGCAGAACTCAAGTGGAAAAGGTGTCTCGTCTACCTCGATGATGTCGTTGTGTTCTCAGAAACGTTTGACGAGCATCTTCGTCACCTTCGAAATGTTGTCGAAGCCATTAGATCGGCCGATCTCACACTCTAGACCAAGAAATGTCACTTCGGCTACAAAGAATTAAAGTTCTTGGTCCCGTCGTGAGCGCCGTCGGTGTTCGGCTTGATCCTGACAAGACTGCTGCCGTCGCCGCTTTTCCGGCACCAACTGACAGGAAAAATCTTCGACGATTTTTGGGTCTGTGTGCGTATTACCGGGGCTTTATTGAAAATTTAACCAACATTGCGGAGCCACTATTACGCCTCACGCGTCATGGCACACCATTTGTCTGGGCTGACGAACAGCAGACAGCCTTTGCGGAACCACAGCACCGGCTCTCTTCCCCTCACGTGCTCGGCCACTTCGACGAAGAT